ATTCACCCCAGAAATTAACAGGTCTAGAACACTCAGCCAAGGAGGATGCTTGGAGCTACCACCCTGCTGGCGACTGCCGAGAGGCTTAGAAGAAAGGCCTTCTCTCTGTGCAGGAAGTCCACCTGGCCCACAGGAAGGAGGGTGACCGAGCCCACCCGCCTTCGCGAGCCAGTGCCGACGGGAGTGGAAAAGGACCACCAGGAAGGGAGGAGATCACCTGCTTCGGAGCTGGAAAGGCCTTCGGGGCTCCTGGAAAGGCCTTCGGGGCTCCTGGAACGCAAACAGCCTTGAAGCGCTAACACGTTGAGTGTTTCCGTGCAAACGGCCCAGAAACATATGGGTACAGTTTGGCTTGCAGTGCAGTTTGATAATAACCAGGGAAAGAGTTTGGCAGAATGACCTTCGGTTGCTCAAAGCCCCGACACTGGAAACAAGGTGCAGGGGCTGTGGGGAAGCTTCCAGGCAGCACAGCACAGGGGCACACCGCCAGCCGGGCACCGACTGGGAGCTGGTTCCAGCGTGGCCAGTGGGGGGCAGGACCCAGGCCAACGCGGGGGGTGTATGACCAGACAGAGGCCTTCACCTCAGAAGCTGCCGGTGACCCCGTTACAGGTGGGGAAACTCAATTTTACCAGTCAGCAGGCAGCCTTGGGAAGAGCAGGGAGGACACCAGGCACAGTGTCAACGTCCCACCCTGCAGCGCGGGGAGTGGCTTGGGGGCGGGGGGCGGGGTGTGGGGAAGGGGCTGGGGGGCGTTAGAAATAGGAAGATGTGTGAGCGAGAGGACCACCACGCTCTTGGCAAAAACGAAGGTGGGCTAAAGGCAGCCCGGGGCTGACTGGCATGCTGGCGCCCACCACGTGGCGGGTGCTTTCAGCACACCTGTCAGAGCCCCCACAAGGTGAGCTTATCTCCCACTTTTCAGAGGGGGCACCGGGGCTGAATCGGCTTAAGACGTCTGTGCCGGGAAAGGCCCAGAAGTGAGGAAAGGGAGCCAGGATTCAAACCCATCGCCATGTCTGGAGTCTAAGTCTGTTCAGGCGGAGGGGCACTGTGCTCCATCTGCATAAAGTGTCTACAACAAACAGACACGCAGACACGGCAAGTCGCTGAGAGGGGACCAGCAGCTGGGAGGAGGCATGGGGGACAGGCTGGTGTGTGTCACGGCGAGCGTACAATGCCCTGAACTGCACACTTAAAAGTGGTTAAAACGGCGAACTTTATGGACACATATTTTACAATAAAAGAGATAAAATCCACATCCTTTCTTCAAAACCACCCTGTCCTCTCCCCCCTCAGCCATGTGCACACATGCACTCCCATCAGCTGACCGCTGCTAACGTAGCCTGATGCACGCACACGCATGCACGCGCCCTCAGTCGTTCTCACTCAGTCGACACACCATGACGGCAACAGAGAAACAAGAGGAAAAGTCAGGCTTAGCAGACTCTTCCCCGACCAATACTCATCAGCGCCAATTTGGGAAGCTCTCTAAGAACCTCTTCTGGGCCCTCGAGGTCTGAGGAACCGCTCTCCAAGCACAGCTGGCAATTAGTGGAGGAACGTGCCCCTGCTTGGCGCTCAGAGGGACCCGGTCCTGCTAGCTGCAGAAGGGCCAGCTCCAGAAACCGCCCAGGGGTAGCTCCTGGGCCGGGTCAGGCTCCTGAGCCTAGTCCTGCCCCCAGAGAGAACCCTTCAGGGGTGAAGCGCTCCCGCCCAGCCCATGCCTTCAGTTACTTGGCTCAACAGGAATTGGGCTGGAAGCAAGATTTTCCTCAGGCTTGATCCCAGGCCCAGGAAGCTGCTGGAGGAAATCGCCACCGTCCTCTGCTCATTATCTCCCCGAGCCATGCCTTTGCCCCACACAGCCTCTATGGCCCAGCTCAGGCACTTCCCTGACGTAGACAGAACTGCAGGCTAGAGCCATGCCTCACCCTGACAGGAGAGTGGGAGACCCCGACGTGGGTGGGAATCACTCACAGGACCCCAAAGCCCCATTCCACTGCTGGGAGCCACTCACACCAGCCAAAAACAAAAACAAAAAAACAAAGCCACTGCTGTGGAGTCAATTCTGACTTATAGCGACACTACGTTCTCTGCAATTCAACGAATTTTAGAACACTTGACCCGGTGAAGAAAGGACAAACGGTTCTGGGCCAGGAGTGCTCTCCTGGCTCCGCCCTGCTGCCCGTGAGAGCCTGGGCCTGTTTCCCAGGCATCCTAGGATTCCGCTTCCGCCTCTGGGAGACAGAGGACTCAGACGAGGCGTCAGAGGGGAAAGCTTCTCGGGCCATGGATGGAATTGTGTCTTCGCAAAATACGCACAGAAATCCTAACCTCTGTGCCTGTAAACAGACCGTTTGGAAACAGGGGTGTTCCTGTGTTATGTTAGCAAGGTCATACCAGAGGTGGCTCCTAACCCTGATCACGTCTGACTTAGAGTAAACATGGACGTACAGACACACAGGGAGGAAAGACAGACGCCACGAGAGGATGGTCTCCAGGCCAAAGGTCACCAAGGATTGGCCTGGTCACCAGAAACCAGGAGAGAGGCCCACAGGAGTCCACACGCCTGAGACCCTGACCGGGACTTCCAGCCTCCGGAACTGAGCACAGATTTCTCCTTTTCAAAGCGCCCCATGTGTGGTATTTCCGTTACAGCAGTGCTCCGTAACTAGGGTATCTCGACACCGCAAAGCCCCTTCTAGCATTTTCTTCTAGGAATAACCCTTGAGTCTCCCTACGGCAGAGAAAGCTCTGCTGAGAGATTAGCAATGTGCACTAAGTACAACCATGTGCCCATCACGCACAGAATAAAACTCAAATGGTGCGAGAACAGTGCAAGGTGTCTGCAGTGACCCGAGGGGTCTGAACTGCCCGATGTGGCCACTGCAACTGTTATCGGACCCAGGAGAGAAGCTGCCTTGGGAGAGACGGCTGGTGTCAGAACTGGAAAACAGGCTGTCGAGAAGAGGCACGTCTGGCCCGCACCTCACAGGAATCAGCTTTGGGCTGATGCCGATGGTGGAGCGAGGGTACCCTGACGCTCTCGCGTTACAGCTGTTGAACGGCTGTGTATTTTGCTGTGTATGAACCCAGCCCAACCCATGGAGTCAATTCCCACTCATACCGACCCTACAGGACAGAGGAGAACTGAGCCACAGCGTTTCCATGGTGGCGATCTTTAGGAAGCAGACTGCCTCACCTTTCTCTTGCAGAGTGACCGGTGGGTTCCAACCACCGACCATTTGGTTGGCAGTGAGCATTTTAACCACTGCACTAGGGCTCCTTTTGTTGTATATGTTTTCACCAAAAAGACAGAAATGTCCACACTCTGGGAGAGCTGCAGAGTCCCCACCCAGCCGGCGCTGGGGAGAATCAGACAGGTGAACAGAGGCCGTGGCCCGAGACTCAGGCAGCCTCGTCGCCTCCCAGCTGGGGCAGCGGCTGACAGACTTTCCATCCTTATCTCAAAACACAGAAAGCAGGGGCTAGGGCGATGTTGTCTCTGCCCCTGGTGGGGGGCTCTGCTTCGACAGCCCCCCAGTTCCACGCCCTGGGCCCCTCACGCAGCCTGCTCTCAGCACGAACAAGGGGAGCTCTCTCTAAACTGCGGCTACAGCAGTCACCGGGCTGGAGGTGCACGCCCCCTTCACCAAATTAGCCGTGTTCTGAGTCCAGGACAGCAGGTAGACTGTACTTAACGCTGTCTTAGCCATTCTGCCCATTTTAAGGGCCACCATTTCCCACTCAAGTTCTGCATTCTTCCTCTCTGTCTCTGTCAATCCAACATGGTCTCAGACTTGCCAAGACCTTTCTAATCTGTTCTGACTCCCTCCCGGCAGACAGGACGGGAACTGCCAGACTGTGAGGAGCCAGGAATGAACAGATGGATAAATCCTGGCCTGACGGCCTGATGGCTTCCCCGGCTGCCGCCACCGGCTCACAAGCTCTGCCTCCCTTACCCCCGGGTCTGACGCGTTAGGGAAGTGGAGTGCCAGGTATCTGCAAGTGCAGACCAGGAGGACAGGGCAGAAGCCAGGTTTCTGCAGATGGTGCACCCAACAGGGTTGCTATGGTGCCGAGCTCCGGGAGCCTCAGGCAGGAGGCCGACTGGGGGGAGCCCACTCAGCACACGGGTGGGAGTAAAAACGGCAGGGCCAACCCCAATCCGAGTGTCAGGCCCTGGGACCCAAGCAATACTATTTTAGGGATTTTCCTAAGAGAACAATCCACAAGGAATGGAACAAATATATTCAAGATGCCCCAATGCTTTTGCTGTTTTAATATTCCAGCTGCCATCTATATGTTTGTCTATATGTGTGTGTATGCACACACACACACGCATATATACATATTCAGTTTATATAAACCCTCAGCCACCACACTGATTGACTCACAGTGACCCTATAGGACAGAGCAGAAATGCTTCCCAGGGTTTCCAAGGCTGTCAATCTTTACAGAAGCTGATCACCAGCCTCTATTCCAAGGCACGTCTGGGTGGGTCTGAGCCACCAACCTTCCAGCTAATAGTTGAGCACTTAACCGTTTGTGCCACCCAGCGACCCCTGCAGGATGTTCTTACTAGACTCTATTTTTCCAAGAATAGTTTTGGGTTTACAGGAAAACTGTGCCAAAGGTACAGAGTTCCCGTGTGCCCCTCCTTCCCCGCTGCAGATTCTCCCATTAACATCTTGCATTCCTGTGGTCCTACTGTTGCTTTTCAGAAATTTCATCGTGGTAAAACATAGTTAACGGAAAATCTGCCATTCTGACCATTTTCAGTGGCAGTGATTCATTCACCACGTTGTACGTCCAGCACCACCATCTGTTTCCAAAACATTCATCCCCTCAAAGAGCCTCTGTACCCTTCGAGCTGTCGCTCCCCATCCAGTCCCCTGGTGAGCACCAGTCTGCTTTCTGGTTCAATGCACTGCCTGCCCTAGATACAGTAAAACCTGCGAAAGCTGGACCCTGTGTAAGGCGGCAACCTGTCAGATCAGGAAAACACAAACATCGTCCACTACAGGGAATGACAGAAGAGTAGTGACTGCACCCTGTCGAAGGCCGAAAACCTGCAAGACCTGCTGAGTTCCGTCTCTCACAGCCTCACCGTGTTTCACGTAAGTGGAATCATGTAACGTGTGAACTGTGGGTCTGGTTTCCTTCACTCAGTGGAGGGTTTTCCTTTCCTTTTGGCCGAACGATCTTGCACTGATGGGTATTCTGTGGATCTGCTCATCTACTGAGGGGCACTTGAGTTGCCTCCACCTCTTGGTGACTACCAACAACAAAGGCTGGCCTGACTGTTTTTCATAGGGAACAACACAGACAAACCCCCGACTGCCCCAGAGCAGGGGGCAGTGATGACACCAGCAGCAGGGCCGCCTGGAAAGGTGCTGAGGAAGCCCGTGAACAACAGGGACAATCAGACGTGCTGCAGGGCCAGCCGGAGAAAGGGAGGGCTTTTCACCTCTCCCGACACCGCACGGACCCCACGGCAAGGAGTCCGGCAGGAGCAGGGCAAGCGAGACCTTTGCCGCGCTCAGTATCACGGCTGGGCTTCTTATTCCTTTGCTCCCAGCAACTGCAATGCCAGTTGCTGTGAGATTGTTGTTTTGAAGAACGAAGCCAGGCTGTGGAGAGCACTGGCAGGGCCACCCTATGGAGCACGTTTCCACAGGCATCTGTCAGGCCGAGACGGCCCACGCACCTTCTGATCGAAGCTGTCCGGTGTCAGGTGGAAGTTGTGGAGAGGAACAAAGTAGTCTTCCAGAAGGCCCATGAGTAGAACCAGGTACACGCCGTCTGCAAACTGAAGAGAGAGACCTGGTCAGAGCACGGCATTGGCAGACACTCCTCACCTGGTCAGCCAGCAGAAAGTACTGTGAAAGCTGACACTCCATCCTTCCTTTTGTTCTGGTGGAGAACCTGGGGTCAAAAGGTGAAGCAGCAGGTGCAAAATGCCAAGGACTGGGGACTTCTCGGGATGGGATCCTCAGTGATAAAAAGCAGGGAGCTCTGGTAGCATAGTGGCTAAGACACTCGCCTGCTAACCAGAAGGCTGGCGGTTCAAACCCACCAGCCACTCCTCAGAAGGAAGGTTGGGCAATCCTACTTCTGTAGTGATACTGCCTCGGAAACCCAAGGAGGGGTCGCTATGAGTCGGGTTTGACTCGACGGCACATAACAACAACATTAAAAAAGGAAACACACAAGCATGCACATGTATGCATACACATATGCAAACACACATGCATGCACACACAGCAGGCACAGGCAAACACACACATGCTTGCACGCACACCTGCATGTACACATATACACAAACATGCAAATATGCACACACACACACGAGAGGCATAGGCAAAGACACACACTTCCATGTACACAGTACATACATGCGAATACATGCTTGCATGCATGTGTGTACACACATGTGCACACGCATGCAGGCACACACGTGTACACACACATGCCTGAGCAGGCACGTAAATCTATGTCTCTCTGACTCACGGCATCACACCAATACATTAGTGTGATTAATGTATTAACATATTCATAAAACACCCAAAGGAAAAAAAAACAAAGGAAAATATGCTGCATTGTGGTAGCCAGTAAAGTTTTCTGGTGGACCACTGGTTAAAAATATGTTTGTGAATTCTATATAGCGTGAAGATTAAAAAGAAGAAAAAAAAAAGATATCAAGTAAAGAAAGTTACATGCATATTTAAGTCTCAGCCTTAAGATCCCTGGCTTTGGGTATTGATGGCACCCAGAGAGCTGGTACCAAAAGCCCCCTATCCTGTTAGTCACAAGAGCAGGAAAATGTCCTGTAACAGAGGGTTAGTTTAATGTAACGTGATGCTAGGATGTCATTTTGTAATCAAGCACATTAACTGTTTGTACCACCCAGGGATGCCTACAACTGCATAGAAGGCAGCTATTAAAAGTGATAAGACAGATTGATCAACCGATTGATCAAGCAATCGACAGACATCAGACAGAGGCTGAGACAGAAATACACACACACACACCGTCACACAAAAGGATGCTTACAAGATATTTAGTAACAAAACCATGTTACAAACAGCTGCACAACACGACCCCCCATCATTCAGGCATATTGTGCATGTGGAGAACACACATCCAACTGAGCTGCAGTCAGTGACCTCTGGAGGGTGTGCGGGGGCAGACCGTGGAAGGGCTAATCTTGTCACTTAGCACAGTTCCCAACTGTTTATATAGCAAACAGCAAACACGCAGAGGCCATACATGTCTGCCAACAACACACACATCCATATATATGTTAAAAGCAAGCCATGCTGCCTTCCCAAGCAGCGCCGCGTTTTCTGCGGCGAGCCGCGTCCCCATGGAGGAAAGGTCTGGAGGGAATGGTGGTGGGATTATGGGTGATTTTTATTTGTTTTGCTTATCTGCATCTTCAGACATCCCTACAATGAACCTGAATTACTTTTGTAATTAGAAAAGCAAATGAGGAAAGAGAGGGAAAGAAGTGAAGCAGTCACAGGGGTTTAAAAGGATCAGCCAAGCCTCACAGGCGCCCACGAGGAGAGCTCACAGATGCCGAATCTAACGCCTGGCTAATCCCGGGAAAATTATATTTCATCTGTAACGCTTGCTGAGG